CTGGATCTGATTGGTTTAACTGCTGCAGAGGAAGCTGCTCCTGATTGGTTGAACTCACGGTTCCGGTTCAGAAGTTTTTATTTTGTTTATGGGTCGAGAAACTGAGACAAAAATTAAAAACACATGATGAGAACTTTCTTCTGTTGCCTTCACTGTCGTTTCTGCTGGTCCGTTTGGGTTCCTGGATCCTGAATACTTGGATTTTAGGCGTTTTTATCTCCGCCGTAAGAAGAAAAGCGGAGATCAGAGATGCCATCTGGGTCAGATCCAGAACCGCTGCGGGTCCTGGTCCTCGGCTCTGACAGCAGATCGGTTTGATTTAAATACGGAGTGAAATCGTGAGTGTTTACAGCCTTATTATAAAACATCCACACAGTAAAAGGATGAGACCCACGCTGAATATTTACATATATAACAATCGAGTCCACCGCCGGGCCGCCGGCGCCGCTGCAGCCGGATCCACAGTTCAGAGGCGTTAACAGAGGAGGGACGTCTTAGTCCCATCTGAGAACTGTATATCTGTGTTGCTAAGTCCTCCGCACACGCACACACACACGCACACACTCACACACAGAGAGAGAACAGTCCCCCAACCCAGCTGAAGAGATGTGCAGCCCCCTCCCAACTAAACAAGGCAGCTCCTGTCATGCGTCACACATTCAGGTTTAGTCCAGAAAACCTTCTGCTCTACCAAACAAGAGGAAAAATTTGAAAGAAAGCAAACGATTAACCCCGTCGGTGACGAACGCCAGGAGGCTCCTCCGGTCGGTTAGCTTCAAACGTGTTAACTGGGAGTCGCGGTTCCTGTGCCGTCAGCCTCTCTGTCCGTAGTTTACATCCTGGCCGTTATTCGTCTCCATCGGGTCGTCCTTGAATTTCTCACAATGCTCCATGACTTTCCTGGAAACAAGAAGCATCAACGGCGTCACTAGATAAACGTTTTCAGATTCACTCGCCTTCAAACGTAAACTAGAGCGGATTTTAAGTGGCAGACCAACACAGCGGGAGCATCCATGTAAAGTTAAAGATGGATTCTATCATCTTTAAATGGAATCTGAAAAGTGTGGCATGCATTTATAAATTGTGTATAAAAATGCACATTTTAAGAACTTCTTTGCTTCCCTTCCTCATAAAGAAAGATAGCTGCAGATCATCTTTTTTTTTTTTTTTTTTTAGCAAGAATAAATTTTATTTGTAAAACATGGTGTATTCAAAACATGGTCAGAAAGTAAATAGATTTAATTAAAAATAAGTAATAATTTAAACGAAATACATAATTTAATTATTTTAGTTCAATTAATTTAATAAATGCATCTCAAATATCATTAAAAATTTATGTTTGAATCCAAATTAAAATATTTCCTCCTTGATTTAATTAAAATATTGGCACTTATGGCTTTCCATACAATCCAAATGTTTGAATTTATCAACTTTACCTGGTGTGAGAGATTTAGATTTAACTTTTAATCTTTAATAATAGAAGATTTCTTCAGTTTATACATCAAGATAAGTGACAGCAGTAATAAAAACACACGATAAATAAATGACATAATTAGCAATGAGTTGTGTTATTTTGTGGATTTGAATCATTACTTTTTACATCAGAAAAAAAATAAATAAAGGAAGACATTTTCACAGCTTTAGTCTTCATATAAAATCCTGTGTCCTGTACTAAAAGTACAGCCGGTGCAGTAATTGATCATTTAAATTATTTTGTTCTGGAATTACAGAGCACGCTAAGAATAAATTAAAGGATTTTATATTTTTTCTTCTTTTGTCTTAATAGCATGTACAGAAGAGGATTACGGCCAGTGGGAAAAGAAAAATGTAACTGATTTTTAAATTTTATTTCAGTTAAGAATTCTGACTTTTTTCTCAGAATTCTGAGATTAAAGTCAGAATTCTGAGATTAAAGT